CCCCAAACCCCCAAAACCCCAAAACCCCAAAACCCCATAAATATTGGATAATATAGAGCCAATAATATTTAATATTCTTAACGTAACGAAATGAAGATCAGTGATAAAATTGATTTAATTAGAAAAAACGCGGGTAAGAAATTTTTCTGAGCATCCTAACAATGTTGTGAAGGATAACGATGTCTAAAATAACCCTATTGAGGTTTATAAGAGAACAATAGTTTATGATAAGACTCTAATCGTTGCATTATCCTAATAGAACGAGGTTTGCACTTTGATTTCGAGAATTTTCTAGCAATTTGTATATTCCTCTTACAAATTCTTTAAATGCCCAAGAAGTATTCAAGACCAACCTATTCCATGGCAATCCTGTATGAATTTCATTTTCCTTGCTCCTGGTTACTCGTCTCACCAAATTTAGATACTAAAGATAACATTTTGTACTCATTTGAGTATTTCCCACCATTGACAGACAAAGGTATTGAGAAGCTGTACGAAAGGATCGAAAGAATGTCTATGATTAACCCTCTCTGGATTGATGTCACTTGGAGGGGAGGCTCTACTTCCCACATTACCCTTGAAATGTGTCAGCACGCACAGATGTTCACAGGCCTTGATGTCATGATGCATTTGACTTGCACAAACATGACCAAAGCTGACATAGACAATGCTCTTGAGAAATGTCAGGAATATGGAGTAAGGAACATACTTGCTTTAAGGGGAGATCCACCAAAAGAAGGCGAAGAACTGGTGAATGACTGTCACCTTGAATATGGAGTTGATCTTATTAAGTACATTAGAGAGAATTATGGAGACTATTTCTGTATCGGTGTTGCCGGATATCCAGAAACACATCTAGAAGCTTCCTCTCCTGAAGATGATCTCAAACATTTGAAAGACAAGATTGATGCTGGAGGTGACCTTATAATCACCCAATTGTTCTATGATAATGAAGCCTTTTTTGAATATGAGAAGAAGTGCAGGGATCTTGGGATAACTGTCCCTATTATTCCTGGTTTGTTACCTATTGTCTCTTACTCTGGATTCCAGAGAATGACCACTCTATGTCAGACAAGGGTACCTTCATCTGTCGCAGAAAGATTAGAAGATGTCAAGCATGATGAGGCAAAGGTCAAGCAGTTTGGAGTTGATCTTGCAGTGGAAATGTGTCAAGACTTGATTGAAAAGGGTGTTAAATACCTTCATTTTTATACTCTTAATCTTGAGAAAGCAGTGGTAGATACAGTCACTAGACTTGGAATTATGAGTAAAAAGAAAAGCCTTCCTTGGAAGAAGCCATCATTTAAGGATAGATCTGAGGAATCTGTAAGACCTATTTTCTGGGCTAATAAGCCTAAATCTTACATTGCAAGAACTGCTGATTGGGATGAGTTTCCAAATGGGAGATGGGGAGTATCTCGTTCACCTGCTTTTGGAGATATGGGTGAATATCCTTCAATGTCCAAACTGTATAAAAAGAGTACCAAGCAGCTTCAGAAACTTTGGGGTGAAGAGTATAAGTCTGAAAGAGAGATAGGTGATCTCATCATCAGTTATATCAATGGTAAGACCAAAAGACTTCCTTGGTGTGAAGAAACTATTAAGGATGAGACTGCAACTATTAGCAAATATATCGAAAAGCTGAATACGAACTATCTTTTCACTGTAAATTCTCAGCCAAAGTGTAATTCAGTACCTTCTCATGACCCTGTGTTTGGTTGGGGACCAGATGGAGGATATGTTTACCAAAAGGAATACATTGAATTCTTGATTCCAATTTTTTTAGTTGAGCCACTTAAAACTTATCTTAACTCATATAAAAATATATCCTACCAAGGAGTCAATTGCTCTGGAGATCAATTCAGTAATGTTGCTTCTGATAGCGTGAACGCTGTTACATGGGGAGTCTTTCCAGGTCAAGAAGTAGCCCAGCCGACAGTGGTGGACCACACTGCCTTCTTCCTTTGGTCAGAGGAGCTATTCCATCATATAAAAGACGAGTGGATTCCAATTTATGAGAAAGAGTCTAGAACTGTTGAAGTCTTGAATAGCCTTCATGACAACTACTACCTTGTTAATATAGTAGATAATGACTTTATCAATGGAGATTTACAAGAAGTTATTGATAAATTTATTGACGAAAATCTCGATGCAATCAATAGCTATGAACCATAGATTGTTTCTATTAAAATTAATTTTCAAATTCTGCTCTTCTTAGGGGTTTTGGGGTTTTGGGGTTTTGGGGTTTTGGGG